GATACTTCAGAAGCCTGGTGTCAATCATGTGACCCTTTTAAAACAACTCAAGGATGGACTAGTGGAAATAATGATATCGATGATTGCATTAGAGAGTTTCAACTTAAATGTACAAGATATGAAGATGTGATTGAGTGGATTCCATTTAATAGGTTATCTAACTTGCACAAAATCGGATTAATTTTTCAAGCATTATGGTTAGATGGAATACGAAAAGTCGAAAATAATACACAGTCACGTACATTGTCTTATTCAGTAAAAATCAAGAAATTTAATAATTCCGAAATGAACGAATTAGAATTTATAAAAGAAGTAGGTTAAAGATTTTATTTTGTGGCTTTATTTAGTACCTTGACACTAATTTAGGATTATTTTACAAGTTTAAAAATTATATGGAATTGAAGGATAGTAAACTTAAGTTATACGGAATAACACAGGATACAGCTAATCGATACATGATTGTATTCGATGATTCTTATTATAAAAGGAATAATATACATGGAAAATGTGCACAATGTGAGATGTATAATACCACAAAGGCCTGGTGTCAATCATGTGACCCCTTTGAAACAACACGCGGATGGACTAGTAGGAATATAGATATTGATAATCGTATTAAAGAATATCAACTTAAAAATACTGAATATGAAAACGTAATTGAGTGGATTCCGTTTAATAGGTTATCTAATTTGCAAAAAATAGACGAATTCAGATTTTATGCATTATGGCTTGATGGAATACGAATTGTCAAAAATAATTCACAGTCACGTATATTATCATGTGCAGTTGGACTTGAATTTTATTCACATAATGACATATTGGATTTAATACAAGTAAGGCATGGATTTATTTTAGTGGTTTTATTTAGCAGCACAGCATTAATTTTATACTTTCTTTTACAAGTCCAGAATTATACAGAAATCATCCATAATTGGTCGTAAAATATTTGGAATAACACGGGATACAACAACTGATCAATATATGATTGTATTTGATGAATTTTATTATCGAAGGGACATTGTATATGGAAAATGTAAACAGTGCAAGAGACATAATACTTCAAAAGCCTGGTGTCAATCTTGTGACCCTTTTAAAACAACTCAAGGATGGACAAGTGAGAATAATGATATCGATGATTGTATTAAAGAGTTTCAACTTAAATGTACAAGGCATGAAGATGTAATTGAGTGGATTCCATTTAATAGATTATCTGACTTGCAAAAAATCGGATTAAATTTTCAAGCATTGTGGTTAGATGGAATACGAATTGTCGAAAATAATACACAGTCACGTATATTACCTTATGCGGTTGAAATTAAGAAATTTGGTAATTCGCAAATCGACACATTAGAATTTATAAAAGAGGTGAGTTAAAGATTTTATTGTGATTTTAATTAGTAGAACGGCACTAATTATATATTTTTCCATGCAAAGTTCAAAAATTATATGCAATTAAGAGATAAGAAACAGAAAATATTCGGAATAACACAGAATACAACCAGTGAATATTTAATTGTATGTGATGATTTTTTCTACAAAAGGAATATTCAATATGGAAGATGCAAACATTGCAATAGATATAATACTTCAGAATCCTGGTGTCTATCATGTGATTCTTTTAAAGCAACCCAAAAATGGACTAGTAAAATTAAAGAAATACAACTTAAAAGTACAAGATATGAAAATGTAATTGAGTGGATTCCATTTAATAGGTTATCTTATTTGCAAAAAATGGGATCCAATTTTCAAGCATTGTGGTTGGATGGAATACGATTTGGCAAAAATGATATACGGTCACATACATTATCATTTGCAGTTGAACTTAAAAGAATTAGTATTTCGCAAATTAACACATTAAGATGCATAAAAGAAGTAAGTTATAGATTTAATTTGTGGTTTTATTTGATAATACGACTCTAATTTTTATATTTTTTCATGTACAGTTCAAAAATTATGTACAATTAAGAGACAATGAACGTAAAATATTTTTACTAACATGGGATGAAAATACTAATCAATGCATGATTGTATTTGATGAATTTTATTATCGAAGGGGCATTGTATATGGAATATGTACACAGTGCAAGAGACATAATACTTCAGAAGCCTGGTGTCTATCATGTGACCCTTTTAACACTACTCAAGGATGGACTAGTGGAAACAATGATATCGATGTTTTTATCAAAGAAGCACAACTTAAATGTACAAGATATGAAGATGTGATTGAGTGGATTCCATTTAATAGGCTGTCTAGTTTGCGAAGAACAGGGGTAAATTTTCAAGCATTGTGGTTGGATGGAATACGAAATGTCAGAAACAATACACGGTTACGTTTATTATCACATGCAGTTGAACTTAAAAAATTTAATGATTCACAAATTAACACATCAGAATTTATAAAAAATGTAAGTCAATGACTTTATTTTGCGTTTTTATTTATTAGTATGGCACTGATTTTATGTTTTCCTTTACAAGCTTAAAAATTATTTGCAATTTAAGGATAATGAATGTAAACTATACGGAATAACACAGGACACGAGGACTGGTCAATATATGATTGTATTTGATGATTTTTATTATCGAAGGGGTTTTGCAGTTGGAAAATGTAAACAGTGCAAGAGAAATAATACTTCAGAAGCCTGGTGTTTATCGTGTGACCCTATAAAAACCACTCAAGGATGGACTAGTGGAAATATGGATATTGATTATTTTATTAAAGAATTACAACTTAAAAGTACAAGATATGAAAATGTAATTGAATGGATTCCGTTCAATAAGTTATTTAACTTACAAAAAATAGGAGAATCAAAATTTCTAGCCTTATTAACAGGTGGAATACGACAAGTTCAAAATAATTCACAGTCACGTACCTTATCATGTGCTATTAAACTTGAGAAATTTGATTATTCACATATTGACACGTTAAATTTTATTGAAAAAGTAAGTTATAGATATTATTTGTGGTTTTATTTAATAATACGATATTTATTTTTGTTTTTTTTTTCACAAGTTTAAAAAGTATATAAATAATGAAAGCAAACTATACGGAATAACGCAGGATACAACAACTGGTCAATACATGATTGCATTTGATGATTTTTATTACAAAATAAATGTTATTTATGGAAAGTGTATATGCTGTGAAAGATATAATACTTCAGAAGCCTGGTGCCAGTCGTGTGATCTTTTTAAAACTATTCAAGGATGGACCAGTGGAAATAATGATATCGATGAGTGTATTAAAGAGTTTCAACTTAAAACTACTAAATATGAAGACGTCATTGAGTGGATTCCTTTTTATAAGTTATCAAAATTGCAAAAGATAGGAGAATTGGAGTTTAAGGCACAGTGGTTAGCTGGAATACGAAAGGTTGAGTCATGTAAACTGTTATATTCCCAAGATAATACATTAAAATTTATACAAACACGCACGTTATCACATGCGGTTGAACTTAAAAAATTTGCTGATTCACAAATTGACGCATTAGAATTTATTAAAAAAGTAAGTTATAGGTTTTTTTGTAATTTTATTAGCAGCAGGCACTAATTATATTTTTTAAAAGTTTAAAGATTATATGCAATTAAAGGATAGTAAACTTAGATTATACGGAATAACAAAAGATACAACAACTAATCAATATATGATTGTATTTGATGGTTTCTATCATGGAAGAGATATTATCTATGAAAGATGTGCACATTGCAATAGATATAATACTTCAGAAGCCTGGTGCCAATCATGTGACCCTTTTAAAGAAATTCAAGTATGGACCAGTGGAAGTAAAGATATTGATAATTACATTAAAGGGCTTCAACTTAAAGTACAAGATATGAAGATGTAATTGAATGGATTCCATTTAATAGGTTATCTAACTTGCAAAAAATAGAAAAATCCAAATTTTATGCATTATGGCTTGATGGAATACGAAAAGTCAAAAACAACACACAATTGCGTACGCTACCATGTTTAGTAGAACTTCAAAAATTTGATGGTTTACAAACTGATGCATTAGAATTTATAATTAAAGTAAGTTAAATATTCACTTACTGCTTGTCTAGAAACACGGAAACTAATTTTTCTATTCTATTTTATAAGTTTAAAAGTTTTGTTCAATTTGAGATTAATGGGCATAGAATATTTGGGATAACTCAAAATGCGTCATCGAAACAATATATGGCAGTAATTGATTATTGCATTTCTAAGAGAGATGAGAAATACGGAGTTTGCAGATGGGATGAGCATTATAACACTTCGAGAGGCTGGTGTCAATCGTGTGATCCTTTTGAAATGACTCAAGCATGGACAAGCGAAAGTATTGATGTAGATGATTGTATCAAGGAATTTCAATTGATTGCCACAGAATATGATAAAGTAATAGAATGGATCCCTTTTGATAGATTAAATAATATACAACAGATCGGGAAAGGGGGATTTGGTGACGTTTTTTTCGCAAACTGGATAGACGGGAAAAGAAAGGTTCTAAAAGACGGCAAAGGATTCATACAGTCTCGAACACAATCTTACTTAGTCGCACTCAAGACTTTATCTAGTTCTTCGAATTCAATGGATTTCTTAAAAGAAGTTAGTCATGTATTTTTTTCTGATTATTTTATGTTTAACTAATAGCACGCTAACACAAGTTTATTTGTAAAGTTTAAAAATCACATGCGATGTAGATTAATGGGGAGTAGCCTTGAAATATATGGATTAACCAAAAACACAACTACAAACCAATATATGATAGTTCTTCAATATGCCAACAATGGCGATCTTCGTCAATATTTAGAAACGAATTTTAAAGAACTTACTTGGAAAGACAAATTATCACGACTGATGGATATATCAAAAGATTTGTCTCTAATCCATGAAGCAAAATACATTCATTGCGATTTACATAGTGGAAACATTGTATTACATAAAGAGGGATCATGGCTTGAAAGATCAAAGACTTATATTATAGATCTAGGATTGTCCCGGAAAAACGAAGGTACTGGAGATAAAAAAGGAATTTATGGAGTTTTACCTTATATTGCGCCTGAACTTTTGTTAGGCAAAAATTACACTCAAGCATCTGATGTATATAGTTTTGGTGTTATTATGGCGGAAATAACTACTGGAATACCACCATTTGATGGTTACTCATTTGATGAGGATTTAGCATTAAAAATCTGTAACGGATTAAGACCAAAATTTGCTTCAGGGACTCCCGAATTTTATGTCGAATTTTCAGAACTGTGCATGAATTTTGATCCACAAAAACGGCCTACTGCTGAAGAAATTTTTCATAAGTTAGAAGAATGGTATAATTTGATTAATGAGTTTGATGAAACTGAAAATTACGACGATACTCAAGAGCTTGACAGATTTGAATTTGATGAAATCGATGAAATCGATGAATCGAAGGTAGAAATGTTTAATAAATTCATAGAATCTGATGAAATAGTTAAAAGGTTGCCAATGGCTATGAAAATACATCAAGATTCTGAGTATACAAGAAAATTTATTAATACTGATGTTATTTCCGAACGGTATTGGAAAGGTAAATATTTATTTAAAATTTGAACCATTTCCTTGTATGATAATTGTGTAGTATTTAACTATTATTTTCTTTTGTATAGATTCAAAGATTATTGACTTAAAGATAAAATCATAATAATAAAATACAATATGCTGCATCACGTTAGTATTGTTAGAATTAATTAAATAAAATTCCCTAGGTTATTATAATTTTATATGTACTGAATTAATATTATTATAAAATTTATCTTGTTTTTATTATTTGATTATTTATCTTATTTTCATTATTTTGATTGTCTTGTATATTTATATTATTTTACTAGCAATTTCGCCAAATATTATAAAGTTAAATCTCTAAATAAACTTCAACTTTTACAATAGTAACTTTGGTATAATTTGAATAGTTGTTTACCTTTTACAAAATAATTATGATAATAGTTTAAGTAGCTGCTTACACTAGTTGAAATTGATTTATTTGGCATAATGCCACTCATCAATTATTCATCAAAAAAATATATAATTTGGCTAATCAAACAAATTTATATAACTTTATCTTTGGCTATAAAGCAGCATATAATTTATTTAGCACATAAATAGTGTACTTTTTTTAAATCTCGTTTTGTCAAAAGTTAATATTTTGACACTAAAATTTATATATATTTTTGTTAAATTATATTACCTTGTCAAATTATATATGTTTCGATGAAATTTATATATTGTATTTGTAATTTAAAAAAATAATAGTAAAATATTCACAAGAATCTTGTCAATTTGAAATCTTATATTTAAAAAGAATAAATTGGTCAAAAATATTGTGAATAAGAATTATATATTTACATCTAATTAGTTAAAATTTGATACTTTATAATTCAACATTTATATCATTTTTGGATCCAAAATAGAATCTGATATTTGCCAAATTAACAGGTTTAAGCTATCGAATAAAAGCCAAATTGTATTTTGTCACATTATTTGATAAATTGATTAAATATGTAAAAAAAATTGAACTTGTTCTGGGTATAAATTGATACTTCTATTATAATTCACAAATTGGACTAAGACAAATGAACCTTTTATATTTTATGATAACTTAATAAAATCAAAGATTTTATTTTAATTCTGTATCTTTTATATTGATCAGCTCTATTTTAAACAATTGTTAAATTATTATTAATATCTTCAATAAATAGCCTTCAAAAGTTCATAGTTTTACAAAAAGTTTTATAATATTCAACTAATAAATTTAAGATTTTGGAAAATATAATTAAATTTAATTTCTCAGGATACTATAGTTCATAAAGATAATCTCTTCAATAATAGTTAGAATAGACAATAGCTTTTTTTTTCTTTTCTTCAAAAATTTCCTTTTTTATTTCTTTGTTCCTTTGTATAGTTATTACAAGAGAGAGGTAACACAATTTGGGTTTATGGTCATGACTGTGGAGGTAATCTGCAGGTTTTGATCCTATTGGAAGTTTGGAATCTTAATTCCATCCTTTAGAAGAACAACATATTACCCCCATAAATCATATCTAGAGGCTTTGGCTGTTTACAGGTGAGTTGGGTCAAGAAAATTTATACTTTGCATACATTCTCAACTTGTAATGGTTCTTTATGATTTAATAAATAAATGATATCAACCTGATTGTAGAATTAAAAAAAAATAGTTTGTTAGGAAATTGTTCAAATCTATTGATAATTGTTTCTTGAATATTATATGTTGTTACACTTGATCTTCGCCCAAGATCATTACTATCCCTTGTCCGATTTTCATTAGCATTTACCCTTGAAATGTTACCCATTCTGGAATAATTCTTGTATTACTATC